GGTCTTTCACGAGGCCCACAACGGCCCAATAAACCTCCAAGATCGACCCCTATCACCCGAAGAGGCTCCCAAGAAGGCTCCAAGACGGCTTCCGGGCGATCCACGAAGGCTCCAGAAACCGTGGCAACGGCCCAGGAAAGCCGCAGGACGGTCCCAAGAGGGCTCCGAAACGGGCCAAGAGGGCTCCCAAAAGCTGTCCTGACGGCCCACGCGGGAAACGATTCGGTCCAAACCGCCCAAGATTGCCTCCAGACAGCCCCATGGGCGTCCAAGACGTTTGCATACGAGACCACGAGGCGCTCCAAGCAAGCCTCCTGGAGCAAAAACCGTCCCGTTCCCTTGGGAAAACGTGCATGTTAGCATATTCGCTTCTTGGGCTTCCACGAGGCCCACAACGGCCCAGTAAGCCTCCAAGATCGACCTCTGGCACCCCAAGAGACTCTCCAAAAGGCTCCACGACGGCCTCTGGGCGCCCCACAAGGCCCCAGAAACCATAGCAACGGCCCGGAGGAACGGCAGGACGGTCCTAAGAGGGCTCCAAAACGTGTCTAGAGGGGCCTCACAGGCTGTCCGGACAGGCCACGAGGGGGACGATTGCTGCCGCCTCAAGGGGTCGGCGGTGTGGCGTAAGCCAACGAATATGTTATACAGACACCCTCCGACGAACTTTGCATGTACCTTCAGGGACGGTGGAGGTGTCGAAAGTCGATGGCTCTCAGTGATGATTCACACACAGCCACCCTCCCCTGAGGTCCAGGAGCAATCCAGTCAAGGCTGCCTGTGTATATACAAATGTGTATATATATACATTGTATATACATACATATATATATATATAGATATATCTTCGTGACGGATCATTAATCCTTCCCCTCCTTCGGGAGGGTCCACCTCCTTCACTTCAATCCACCTCCCAAGTTCCCTCCGCTCCCTACCTTCCTCCCTCCCCCCATCCTCCCCCTATCCCGTCCCTACGTAACACTCGCTCCCCCCTGCCTCCTGCCCGTCCCTCCCCCCCCGCCCCCCCCCCCACAAACCCACCACGGGACACGTCCTGGGGCGCGCCCGGGCCGGAATGCCGAGGCGACCCTCCCGGCGACCCCGAGACGGTCCGAGGAGGAGGAGGAGGAGGAGGAGGAGGAGGAGGAGGAGGAGGAGGAGGAGGAGGGAGGAGGAGGAGGAGGAGGAGGAGGAGGAGGAGGAGGAGGAGGAGGAACAGACCACTCGGGAGGAGCAGGCGGCCCAGACCACTCGGGAGGAGCAGGCGGCCCCGGGGGGAGGAAGTGGTCCTTTGGGCCCCACCTCCGCGCTCCATGGCGGAGCGCATCGGGGCGGCCTGGGCACCCCCCCCCCGGAACTCTACAGGCCATGCGCAGCCGCTGGAGAGCACCCCGAGGCAGGACAATCGCCCAACACCAGCCGAAACGTCCGAAAATCTTTAAAAAACCTCAAGGAACTGCCCCTCGAAGGAGGAGGAAGGGGGAGGAGGAGGAGGAGGAGGAGGAGGAGGAGGAGGAGGAGGAGGAGGAGGAGGAGGATGAAGGAGGCTGCGGCGGGGGGGATGGAGGATGAGGCGGGAGGCGGAGGAGGATGAGGAGGAGCAGAAGCGGAAGAGGCGGAGGATAGGAGTAGGAGGGGAGGAGAGGAGGAGGAGGAGGAGGAGAGGAGGAGGAGAGGAGGGAGAAGGAGGGAAGAGGAGGACGAGGGGGGGGGAGGAAAGGAGGGAGGAGGAGGAGGAGGAGGAGGAGGAGGAGGAGGAGGAGGACGAGGAGGAGGACGAGGAGGAGGAGGAGGAGGCGGAACCAAAACTCGAGCCCCGAGCCTCGACCCTCGACCCTCGAGCCCCGATTCCTTCCACGCCGTCCTCCCCTCCCGCCCCGCCTGTGGGGAGGCGGCGGCCTGCAGTCGGGGTCCCGCTCGGGGGAAGCAGGGCCGCCCCCGCGTCGGCCTCGCGGCTGGGCAGTGAGGGGAGGCGCCGTCGTCGTCGTCGTCGTCGCCGTCGTCGTCGCCGCCGTCGTCGTCGTCGTCGACGTCGTCGCCGTCTGCCGTCTGCCGTCTGCCGTCTGCCGTCTGCCGTCTGCCGTCTGCCGTCTGCCGTCTGCCGTCTGTCGTCTGTCGTCTGTCGTCGTCGTCGTCTGTCGTCTGTCGTCTGTCGTCGTCGTCGTCGTCGTCGTCGTCGTCGTCGTCGTCGTCGTCGTCGTCGTCGTCGTCGTCGTCGTCGTCGTCGAGGTCGTCGTCGTCGTCGTCGTCGTCGTCCGTCGTCCATCTTCCATCGCTCGTCATCGTCGTCGTCGTCGTCGGTCGTCGGTCGTCGGTCGTCGACCGAAAGGGGACTTGAGCTGATGTGGCACTGGGGCGCCGTTTGAGCTTCGAGCTTCGAGGTTCGAGGTTTGAGGGTCAAATTTCGAGGTTTCTTGTTTTCAGGGGTTGTCGATGGTTCTCAGCGGTTCTCATTGTCCAACCGGCTCTCCAGCGGCTGCGCCTCGCCGAGAGCGTTCTGGGCGTGCCTGGATCGCCCCAAACGGCCGCTGGTGAGCCGAGTTATGGCCCGAAAACAAATGACGAGCCCCGCTAGTGAGCCCAGCTTCCTAGCACCAACACCCTGACGTCCACCGTGGTCGCTGGACTGCGAGGAAGTAATGAGGGAGGGCGCAGGTGGACCAGAACAAGGGCCAGGAGCCACCGTCAGTGCAAGTCTCAGGGCTGGAACTGCCAGAGGCGGCGTTGCCATGGTCCACCTGCTCAAGACTTTGGACCTGCTCCCAGGGGGGGACGCAGGGGCAGCTCTTCGAAAGAAAGTCAGCCCAGCTCCATTCACAAGGCCAGGACGCTGGCTAATGACCCAGACGGGTAGCGGGGGCATCTATTGGGGCTGCGCTGTGCCGAGCGGGGTTCGCTTCGTCTCGGGGTGGTGCAAACTTTCGGGCGTCTCTGCTGCCTCTTCTGGTCGGGCTAAACTAAGAAGTCCAAAGAGCTCCTCCTCCTCCTCCTCATCCTCCTCCGCATCCTCCTCCTCATCATCAGCGTCGTCAGCATCGTCGTCATCATCATCATCATCAGCAGCAGCAGCATCATCATCAGCATCATTATCAGCATCATCATCAGCATCAACATCATCAGAAGCATCAGCATCATAATCAGCATCAGCAGCAGCAGCATCTCGCCCTCGCCCTCCCCCTGCTCCTGCCCGCCCTCCTCACTGCCAACCTTCTTGTGCACCGCATCATATGCTGAATGCTCATCGCCAACCTCCTCTTCCTCCCCGCCCTCCTCCTCCTCCTCCTCCTCCGCCTCCTCCTCCTCGTCCTCCTCCTCCTCCTCCTCATGCTGCTACCCCTCCTCCTCCTCCTCCTCCTCCTCCTCCTCCTCCTCCTCCTCCTCCTCTCCTCCTCCTCCTCCTCCTCCTCCTCCTCCTCCTTCCCCTCCTCCTCCTCCCCCTCCTCCTCCTCCTCCTCCTCTTCCTCCTCCGCATCTCCCCCTGTCGCCTCCCCTGGCGGCGACTTGCGTGGCCCGTCGCCGCCGCTCCACCGCAAGTCGCCCTCCGCCTCCTCCTCCTCCTCCTCCTCCTCCTCCTCCTCCTCCTCCTCCTCCTCCTCCTCCTCTGTCGCCTCCTCCTGGGGAGCCGGCCTGCCGCACACGCCGCGCAGGCGGCGAGGACCCCCGCAGCGGCGCAGGCTGGCGCCGGTCGCGGGCGGCCCGCGGCCTGGGCCGCCCCCCAGATGCACGTGGCGCCGCCGCGGGCCGCCGTCGGCGTCGTCGTCGTCCTCCTCCTCCTCCTGCTCCGCCTCGGGGTCCCGCTCGGGGGAAGCAGTCGGGGCCCGCCCGGGGGAAGCAGGGCCGCCCCCGCGTCGGCCTCGCGGCTGGGCAGTGAAAGGAGGCGCCGTTGTCGTCGTCGTCGCCGCCGTCGTCGTCATCGTCGTCGCCATCGCCGTCTGCCGTCTGTCGTCTGTCGTCTGTCGTCTGTCGTCGTCGTCGTCCGTCGTCCATCGTTCGTCATCATCGTCGTCGTCCTCGGTCGTCGGTCGTCGTCGTCGTCGTAATCGTCGTCATCGTCGTCGTCGTCCTCCTCTTCTTCCTCCTCATCCTCCTCCTCAGGCACTGAGGCACTGATGGCAAGAAAGTCTCCAGACGTGGCCATCCTCCTCCTCCTCCTCCTCCTCCTCCTCCTCCTCCTCCTCCTCCTCCTCCTCCACATCATCAGCATCATCAGCAGCAGCATCATCATCAGCATCATCAGCATCATCATCATCATCATCAGCAGCAGCATCATCGTCATCGTCCGAATCATCATCAGCATCAGCATCATCATCAGCATCAGCATCAGCATTAGCATCAGCATCATCATCATCATCATCAGCAGCAGCATCATCAGCAGCATCATCGTCAGCATCAGCATCATCATCTGCATCATCAGCATTGTCATAATCAGCAGCATCATCATCAGCAGCTGCATCATCAGCATCATCATCATCATCATCACATCAACAACAACCACAGCATCAGCATCAACATCATCAGCAGCAGCATCAGCATCAGCATCAGCATCAGCATCAGCATCAGCATCAGCATCATCATCATCATCATCATCATCATCATCATCATCATCATCATCATCATCATCATCATCATCATCATCATCAGCATCATCATCATCATCGTACTCAGCATCCTCATCCTCATCCTCATTCTCATCCTCCAATGAGACACTTCCCGCACTGTAGATGTCTGTTTGCGGGGACATGCGTGGAGGAAACTTGAAGGTAGGGTTTACTGCAACAAGGTTGAGGCGTCGTGGGTTTGCGCCAGAGGAGCGGAGCGCGGACGCAGAGGTGGTGGCGCTGCGCTGGCCGTCGAGGTCCTCGAAGGCATGCCGTGTGTCTTCGCGCACGTGCACGGGAGTGCCCGTGACGCGGGCGGAGGCTCGCCTCCGCGATGCAGGGCGGTGAGACCAGGCGAGCCACCTCTGGAAGCTTTCCAAGATACGGAGTGGGGTGGCCCGC